GTACGGTACCACTATTGGTGTTAACGCGTACGCGCTATAGGTGTAGCGTCCCTTAAAAAATAAAAAAAAATCCCGCGAAAGCTATAATTCGACCAGTTAATTCGAGTTTGTGCAGTACAATATGTTAAGAAAACCGACGAACGATGTTTCCCTAGCCCTAGTACATACCATTTTAGAATTGTTTATTTCTACTCTTTTTATTTATGTGCAATACCTTGTCTTTTATGCTGCTGCAACGCAAACATTTCCCAAATTGGGATCAGTAAAGTACATCTTAACTTATCTTTATCTCATACTGCTACTTTATGGAATACTAATTACCGTAGATAAACTCCAAGAACATTATGAACAGCCTTCACCCAGCCATAGATTCTCACCTCTTACCCATGACTGAGGTTTCACCTTGACCGTTTTATCTCAGTAGGCTTTCATGTTACATATTGTGTATTTTGAGCTTTTAAGAAAAATGTAAATCAGTTGAAAGTGACTATTTTTGTCACGTTATAAGGGTTTCTGATATGCCAATAGCTTAACAATGAAAAATGACAATATACACAATATCTGCTGTCACTGAGAGCTTGCATCTTGCTCTGTGTTCATGTGAATGTGCTGAGAATGCTGATGAGCTTTCATGTCCAGAATAAAAAAGGCACAGTTGTAGCATTCAGTGGGGAGGAGGGTCATGCTGTTGCTACTCACACAGTTCAGAAACATTCTTGGTGTTCAGCTGCTGCTGGTTCTGGTGCTCAGGGATTATTGATGTGCTGTCCTCAGACACTGTACAAGGTTTGAGCCTGGAGCGTGACTGTGTAAGCACGCTTCCTCGAGCCGTTGGGGAGAACCAGCAGGAAGACTAAGGAATACAGCTGTATAACCTTTTTGTTCAGGAATTGATTCAATAAAACCAAAGGAGTCTTTCTGACTGTAGTTAAGAGTTACAATACATGTATGGCACATAGACAATCAGCTTGAATTCTAACTTTCTCAATGGTCTTTGCATACGTTTTTGGGAATTACGTTTGTTCCATTAGAAAATGAATTTCTCACACGTAACCTCTATAGTTTAGCTACTCTGGCAGCTTGTGTTCAGGGATGGTTAATTTCATTTGGTCAGGTGGTTGGTGCACCACATTGCTCAAGACACCAGGTCAAGGTTTTAATTAGTTCAGTACTTTGGTTTATGACCAAATAATTGCAAAACTAATGACATTTGCATAAGCCTCATCATTCATTTGGTTCTCTCTCAATGCTCCCATTAGCATCATTTCAAAACGCACTAGGCGGCTTATAGTGAAAGAAACTCATCGTACATAATCTTCCCAGAACCAAAAATCAGACAGATAAAGTGAGCAACTAGCTGGTGAACAAAGTGGAGCATTTAGCAGCTAAATTCAGATATTTTTCTCAGCGCTCGGAGGAGACCAAATATGGAGCAAAAATTGAGGAAATGTTGAAAACAGTAACTTCAGGTTCCAAATGATATGTATTGTATTCTTAACGTATAAAGATCAGTAATTTATTTGGTAATTTGTGTGTAAAGGTAATTGCTCATACCTAATTAAGCAGTTGTAATTTTAATACATAAACCATGCATGATTATTTTGTATATTGCTGTTTTCTAAGAAGAAATGTGTCTTTTGTTTAGGGTGTGTGAAGACCTGGTTCTGGTGAATGTTTGTATGCTAACACTTCCTAATAAGTTGTGTCGTGAGCCAAAAAAACTGGCCTCACAATGACAAACTGCACCATGCCTCTGCAGTGTACCTCTCATTGTCAATTTATGAGTGCCATTGTACTGCACCACACAAATACACTTTTACAACCCCCTGCTGGACCGTTATCTGTAAACAAATTAGCAGTGCCGATCATTAAAAAAAAATGATGCATTTATTCAAACCATGACATGCTAAATTACCATCACTGCTCAGCCAAAGCCCTCATAGAGTTTGAATCTGGCTCTAATATTATCATGGCAATTGAATATGCCTCTGAATTTTAGGATATTAAAGCTTATATTTGTTAGGACATGGTGGAAGAGACAAAAAACCGAATATGGTAATCTAAGAAGGGAGAAGAACAGCGGGATAAGGAAGAGAATGAGGAATACTCGACCGTATTAAATCGGCCCATGCTCCAGCTTTTGAAAACAAACAAGAAAAGATTGTTATGAGAATCTCCTGATTTTACAGCCACATGATAACAGAGAGAGAGCGAGGGGATTGTGTTGTAAACAGAGAGAAATACCAGCAGTAGCAAAGCACACGTGCAGCACATAGTGGGACAACGAGATGCAGAAAGCTTTGGGAGAGAAAAGGAAAGGTGCTTACAACCTGAGCAAAGAGACGCACTAAACACTTTTTGTCTCTGGATAGAGAAGAAAGACAAAGCGGAGACTACAACGTGGCTTTGAAGAACTAAAGTAACACACACAGGAAAGCAGAACCTTACATCAACACTGGGCGTAATCCACCATTCACTGCTGCCAACGTGCGCCTGCCAAAGGAAAACTTTTAACCTCCCTCAAACAGTCGTACCTGGACGAGTTGTTTCCATTGTTCAGCTTTCAGTCACTGTGGAGCTAATGTGATTAAAAGAATCAAACATCAGACATTGATCATGCTGCCTGTGAGTGTGTGCACTTAGGAAAGAGAGAGGGAAAAGTGACTGAGAGAGTCTTTGCCTAGTTGTTCTTGTTGACTCTGGTCTTATTAGAGCGCCTGTTGTGAGGATAATTAGTGTTATTTGCATTATTGAGCTTATTGTCAGTTGCCTCCACCCTGCTGCCGCTGCCTATGTTTTTCCATTAGCGAGAGCCTCCCAGCGAGCTCTGATGGAGGGCCCTAAGGAGACATTGTGTTCTTTGATGCCGTCCCGTTCTGACAGATGAACAGACTCGAACACAAACACACTCCCGGACAGACACAGATTGCCTAGAGCCCCTCAGTGACTAGCAGCAGTTAGCTTTTCTTTTCCTCAGCCTCTGTATTCTTTGTATCTTCCCTTGTTTGACCTTTGTTTGCGGTTATCTCAGGTTTTCTTTACCTAATGTCCCCTCTCTCGAGTTTTGCTTGTGTTGCTTTTACTTGTCCTCTTATTCTTCAGACCACCTGCTGCGATTAGCTTTGAGTTTGGTGGTAAAAACGTGTTTATAAAAATCGAAAGTAAGTCGTGCGCAACATGAAGAAATCGCTAATAACAACACAGATGTCTTCCACACTCTGAGCATTTCCACATTGCATTCTTCATTATTTTCTTCACTTTTTCACAATTAGTCCCGATTTTGTTATGTCTGCGCTCACCAAGTTCTTAAATGTATTCTCAGTTGTATTCAGTGAAGTGCTCCTCTTTTTCCGCGGGACTGTATCTTTGGTGATAAGCCTGCAGATCAAAGTGCTGTTTTTCCATTTCTGTTTTCAAATACTACTTTGCCATCAAATAGTCCCATGGGCTGGTTTTCTTCAGCCTTTGATTCTTTTTTTTTGTGTTGATTAAATGTTCAGTTTTTGTCAGTATTGCTGTTTTCTCTTATCTTTCCCAGGCATGGTGGTTACCGCTGTTATAAGAAAAACTTAGAACTTCATTTCCCCCCATTTCTTTCCCAAGTACATCAGGAATTGTAATGCCAGTAAATACCTGTCTACCAATGGACACTCACCATAGAGAAGACATATCTCACACAGCAGGTGTTTACAACAGCAAATGTAACAGCTTTGAACTTGGGATGGGCAAGGTTTTTGATGTATGTTTATATTGCTGTGGATTTTGACATTCCTTGTGGACATTCATTTACAAATCCTCATCGTTTTTTTTTCTCATTTATTTCCTTCTTCTCATCCAGCCTTTCCACCAAGGACATTGAATCCCGGAGCGAGTCCCTCTGCCTGTTTGAAACTTTAAAGATCAACCCTGAGGCCTTTTACAGCCACATGACCAAATATGTTCTGCCCACTGTGGAGGGAACAGATCTGGGCCGCCTGCTGTACTACTACACCTTACTAAACTCTGCTGGCTGCGAGCCTCACGTCACCACCTCCATCAAACCAGACTCCCATGTCAAACTGCTAAGGAAGCTTGGAGCTGTTGCCAACGGTAAGAAGATTTTTTTTTTTTATAAAGCAGATGGCACAACTAATGCAAATCTAGTGGGTTGTTAAGATTGAGGACCAGTGACAGGTATTGCAACCCATCAAACCAATGGATGCAGTTTCCTCTGTGTATAGAGATTCTGAAAGTTTCAGGAAAAAAGATTCACACACTTTTTGCCTGATCCTTTTATATAAAAACCTGTCTGAAAATGAGCTGATCAGATTGTGGCCACTTTATGATGTCATAACGTTTTTTTTTGGCTTGTGTAACCATTAGCCAATCACCAACCAAGGTAACACTCCCCCTTATCACCTGAATCTCCTCCTAGAGGACCAATGTGTTCTTTGTAACCAAACATCTCACAGAGGGGCGTGGGGAGTGGCTCCTTATTTTCATCTACAGTAACAGACACAGAATCAGCACTTTTGAAGCAGGGCTGAAACAGAGGGGTTTATGGGATGCTGCAAAGCATGATCTGGGACCTTTAAAGGTGACCTATCATGCAAAATGCACTTTTGTACGTCTTTTATACATGAATATGTGTCCCCGGTGTTCCAGGGAACTCACCAAGTGTCAGAAAACACAACCCTCTCTCTTTTCCTCCGTACCCAAATCTCTTAAAAAGGGGCTGCAACGGATCTGATACAGACTGATCCAGATTTGAACACTTCTATGACGTCACAGAAGTGGCGCTACGGCTATTGGGCCAACTCCACCAATCAGGAGGAGACAGCCACGGACATTGCCGTTTGAAAGCGCTGGAGACGCTGTAGTACATATGCCAGGCCTGTAGATGGTGCTGTTCTCACAGAATCAGCCCATGCAAAGACAGTGTTAAATTGAGCGAAATGAGGAATGGCTAAAATGCATGATCTGTTTGGTATTTTGAAAAATAAAAAGTATAAATATGCCTTATATAGGTATGGACCTACACTATATTATTCAAATATAGCATGATAGGTCCACTTTAAATTATGTTATACAATGCACCTAATAAACAAGTATGGCATTTTGAAACATGATGTGCAACAATTTTTACTGTAATTTGTGTGCATTTTGTTGTTAACTAAGATGATGTTATGATTTATTTTTTGTTAGTATGCACGTGGACGCTTTGGATACACCTGGAGAAGGAAAAATGGGTCTTCGGAATGATGGGAGTTAAAGACAAAAGGCGGAGACTAGTGCGCTGTGGCTGCCGGCCACTCTACCGGCCCGGCGCGCTGTGAGGGGTGGGGCTCACACACAGCCAGGTCAGGACACTCCGCATGCAACAGTGTAGCAGCCAAATGAATAATATAGAGACAAGTAGGCGACAACGTGTGACTTACTTGAGGGGAATTTGAAGTTAAATGGAATTGGTTGCAAAACCTAATTCCACATCAAATATTTGGGATTTAAGCCAAATCTACGAGGCAAACCTACGGACTTGAATGAGCCGGTATGTCGCATTTGTTTTAAAAAGGTAGCAACAAAAGCTAGCAATACGACCAACCTTAAACTGCACCTGAAACACAACAACCCCATTCCGTTTTCCCAGCTGGGAGCTGGAGATGGAGAGCCCCCACCTTCCCGACTTACTTTATTTTTAAAAAACATTTCTTACTACTGCATTTTCACAAATGCAATTGCTTGTTTTGGCCACAAGAGAGCTCTGTTTTCCAACCTGAGTCTATTTAATTTATTGTTTGGGTTGTGTGTGATTTATTTAATAAATGTTTTATAATTTAATTAATTTGTTTTATTTATTATATATAATTTATTATATATAAATATTATTTCACATTTCATTTGCAATGTTGAATGTTCAATAAAAAAGGATGTACTTGAATTATTATTATATATTATCATTATGTCCGTGGTCTAAAATGGACTAACAACGGTGCAGACAATATTATCGTTTATCGCAATAAATTCCGGGAAAATGTATCGTCCAACAAAATGAATTATTGTGAAAGGCCTACGTACAGAGAGTTTGTTGGAGGAAAACCTCAAGGTTCTTGAATGGTAATCTAGGTTTGGCTCTGCTCACCCTGATGGACTGCTTGGACGCTTGTTCAAGGATATACACAAAGCCTTTCCAGTCTGAGTATCATTATCTCTTCCACAGGTCTTTTCATATTATGTCTGAGAAAAGCTTTTATGTTTAAACTGGTGTATCAGTCATACTACAACAGACTTACTTTGAGTCCGTAATTTTCTCATGTGTGAATAAACATTTTCTTACTTCAACAGATTTTCATGATGAAAAATGTGTAATTACAATACGGTAGACGCGTGATGTTATACACTTCATATCATAAATGTGACATGTGTACTTAAAACTTAAAAACAACGCACCCTTTCAGTAAGTTATAAACCCCCTGCCCTCACAGTGACCCTCATCATAGACTGGTGATGTGTTTTCCCTACAATAAGGCTCACTTTGGTAGTTATAAATGTTAATAACTCATTAATAAATGGTCATAAGAGATGCCCAAGAAAACATCGAGAGCGGATGGGGAGGAGACATGCACTCAGATCTCTCTCCAACCGAGACCCCCCCCCCGCCGCGCCCGGCCCGCAAAACATCATGAACGCCCAGAAAAACAAAATGTTTCCTTCAGGTGTGTTTAGATGTCTCCTGAGGTTGTGTTTATGATCTCCTGGAGCTGTGTTTATGTCTCCCTTCAGGTGTGTTAATGTCTCCTCAGGTGTGTTTAATGTCTCCTTCATGTGTGTTTTATGTCTCCTGAGGTGTGTTTATGTTCCTCCAGGTGTTTTAATTTCTCTTCAGGTGTGTTAAATGTCCTCCTCGGGTGTGTTAATGTTCTTTCAGGTGTGTTAATGTTCTCCTCAGGTGTGTTAAGTCTCCCCTTCAGGGTGTGTTTATTGTCTCCTTCAGGTGTGTTAATGTCTCCTCAGGTGATGTAATTGTCCTCTTCAGGTGGTGTTATATGTGTCCTCAGGTGTGTTAATGTCTCTCAGGTGTGTTAATGTATCCTCAGGTGTGTTTGTGTCTCCTCAGGTGTGGGTTAATGTCTCCTCAGAGATGTCGTTAATGTCTCTTCTCAGGTGGTGTTAATGTCTCCTCAGGTGTGTTAATGTCTCTTCAGGTGTGTTAGTTCTCCTCAGGTTTGTTTGGTGTCTCCTCAGGTGTGTTAATGTTCTCACGGTGTGTTAGTGTCTCCTCAGCGTGTTGTTAGTGTCTCCTCAGGTGTGTTTGTGTCCTCCTCAGGTGTGTTTAAATGTTCTCCAGGATGTGTTAATGTCTCCTTCATGTGTGTTAATGTCTCCTCAGGTGTGTTAATGTCTCTTCAGGTGTGTAATGTCTCCTTCAGGTGTGTTAATGTCTCCTTCAGGTGTGTTAATGTCTCCTCGGTGCTGTTAATTTCTCTTCAGGTGTGTTAATGTCTCCTCAGGTGTGTTAAATTTCTCTTTCAGGTGTGGTTAATGTCTGCCTCAGGTGTGTTAATTTCTCTTCGGTGTGATTAATTTCTCCTCAGGTGTGTTAATTTCTCTTCAGGTGTGTTTATGTCTCCCTTCAAGGTGTGTTTAATGTCCTCTTAGTGTGTTAAATGTCTCCTCAGGTGTGTTAAATGTCTCTTCAGTGTGGTTAATGTCTCCTTCAGGTGTTTAATGTCTCCTCGGGTGTGTTAATGGATCTCCTCATGCGTGTGCTTTATGTCTCCTCGGGTGTGGTTATGTCTCCTTCAGGTGTGTTAATGCTCCTCGGGTGTGTTAATGTCCTCTTCAGGTGTGTTAACGTTCCTTCAGGTGTGTTAATTCTCCTCGGGTGTGTTAATGTCTCCTCAGGTGTGGTTACTGTCTCCTCAGGTGTTTTATGTCTCTCGGGTGTGTTAATGTCTCCTTCAGGTGTGTTAATGTCCTGAGGTAGTTTAATGTTCCTTCAGGTGTGTTAATGTCTCCTGCGAGGTGTGTTTATGTTCCTTTCCAGGGTGTGTTAATGTCTCCTTCATGTGTGTTATGTTCTTCATGTGTTTATGTTCTCCTGAGGTGTGTTTATGTCCTCCTTCAGGTGTTTTAATTCTCTTCCAGGTGTGTTAATGTCTCCCTCAGTGTGTTAATGTCTCCTCGGGTGTGTTAATGTCTCCTTCTGGTCGGTGTAGAATGGTCTCCTCAGAGTGTGTTAATGTCTCTCAGGTGTGTTAAATCGTCTTCCTTCAGGTGTGTGAATGTCTCCTCAGGGTGTGTTAATGTCTCTTAGGTGTGTTAGTGTCTCCTCAGGTGTGTTGTGTTCTCAGGTGTGTTAAATGTCTCCTCAGGGTCGTGTAATGTCTCCCCTCAGGTGTGATTTCGAGCTCTCCTCAGGATGTGTTTAAATGTCTCCCTCCAGGTGGATTTGTGTCTCTCCAGGTGTGTTAATGTCTCCTCAGGTGTGTTTTGTGTCTCTCTCATGGTGTGTTAATGTTCTCCTCAGGTGTGTAATGTCCTCCTCAGGTGTGTTTGCTGTCTCCCTCAGGTGTGTTTGTGTCTTCAGGTGTGTTAATGTCCTCCTCAGGTGTGTTTGTGTTCTTCAGGTGTGTTAATGTCTCTTCAGCAGTGTGTTAATGTCTCCTCAGGTGTGTTAGTGTCTCTCAGGTGTGTTAAATGTCTCTTCAGGTGTGTTAAGTGTTCTTCAGTGTGTTAAGTGTCTCCTCGGTGTGTTAATGTCTCTTCAGGTGTGTTTGTGTCTCTTCAGGTGTGCTTAAATGTCTCCATCAGGGTTGTGTTGTCCGTCTCCTCAAGGTGTGTTACGTGGTCTCCTGAGGTGTGTTAGTGTCTCCCTCAGGCTGTGTTGTGTCCTCCTCAAGGATGTGCTTAATGTCTCTCACAAGTGTGGTTAATGTCTCAGCGCTTGTGTTTGTGTCTCTTCGGTGTGTTAATGGTCCTCCTCAGGTGGTTTTAATGTCTCCTCAGGTGTGGTTTGTGGTCCTCTTCAGTGGTGTTACATGTCTCTCAGGTGCTGTTAAACTGCTCCTCAGGTGTGTTTGCTGTCTCCTCAGGTGTGTTAATGTCTCCTCAGGTGTGGTTCTGTCGTCTACTCAGGTGTGGTTAATGGTCTTCCTCAGGTGTGGTTTGGTGTCTCTCAGGTGTGTTACATGTTCTTCAGCGTCGTGTTTGTGTCTCCTCAGGTGTGGTTTGTGTCCTCCTCAGGTGTGTTTGTGTCTCCGTCAGGTGTGTTTGTGTCTCCTCGGCCGCTGTCGTTAATGTCTCCCTCAGCGCTGCTGCTTCAATCGTCCTTCCCTCGGTGCTGCTTTGTGTCACTCAGGTGTGTTAATGTCTCTCAAGGTGTGTTTGTGTCTCCTCAGGTAGTGGTTGGTGTCTCCTCAGGTGTGTTTGTGTCCTCCTCGGTGTATGTGTATGATCTGATTATATGATGACAGGATCTTACAGCTGGTCCCCCTTCTCTCCTCAGGTGACCTTCTGTCTGTACACACACCCCCCCTCCCCCAGGTGTGACCCATGCCTGGCTCGTCTCCTCTCAGGTGGGACTTCCTGTCCCGTCTCGATCCTTCAAGCGCGTAGAGTGTGAACGGACCGTCCTTTCCTCGTTCTACCTCCGCCGGATGGCGGGACCTCTGCCGGTGGTGCTCTCGGAGGAGCAGCGTGGAGACGCTCTCAGCTTGGGAGGACGGGCCCTCGAGGCTTCCTCCCTGCGAGGCTCTGCTGATACGCTGTGGCTTCACGACCACACAGGACTAACGCCTTCCCTTTTGCTGCTCACTTCTCCGTCAGCGCGCTCACGAACGCGCCGCCGCTGCAGTTCTCTGCTGCTGCAGCGGAGCGGGCGCCGCACCTCAAGCGTGGCCGTGCGCTACGAACACCCCCCCGCCTTGCACATCCCTCGGCTCTGACTGCTGACGCCTCTGAGGACTGCAGCGAGAGGCGGCGACCTCTCTCCCTGGACGCCTGCAACCGGCTGCCTGCACTGCTGCCGGACCAGCAGGGAAGAGTGCGGTGCCAGCTGGCGGTAGGAACTGCTCTCGCTCCGACTGCCTGCCTCGCGCTGCTCGAGTCACGGTGCTGCCGCCCAGCAGGCCTGGAGCCGTGCTGCAGCGCCTCAGCAGCGCTCAGAGCGCACGCTCTGCCGAAGGCCCTCAGCAGCTCCAGGCAGGCGCAGCGCTGCATGGACTTCCTGCTGGTCTTCCTCCCCCTCGCCCCCACCGATCGGCTTACTTCAGCGCGTGACGAGCCGCAGCGCTGGCCACAAGCCTTCACTTCTGGGAAAACCGAAAGTCTTCAGGTGGCTGTCTGGCCTGGCTCCGCCCCCCTCTTGCTGCAGGCCCTGAGGTGTTTGGCCCGGTCCGGCCCCGGTCAGATCAGCGCACTGCCTGTACTTCTTGCACAGCCACAGCTGGCAGTGGGTCATCGTCACCATGGAATGGTGTGCTATAGTTAACTAAATCGTAACATAAAGACTGAAACACGGGGAAGGATACCGGCGGCGCTTTCAGGACCTGAAACAGACTGCAATGATTGGCTCCTCCCTCTGATGGACCGTTAGATGGAGAAATCTATATCTAAGAGTGCTTTTATGTAAATGGGTCATATTGTCTTCACTATTATCTCACATCGTTAACTTAATACTACTAACATCTTAAAACATGTCGAATCTACCTGCTGAAAGCACCAAGAAGAAACGTAGGGTTACTAACAATAAAATTGTTCTTTTGTTTGCGTAAATACACACCCGACACACACACACCAGCGTGCACACACACACACACACACACACACACACACCACACCCACACACACATCACACACACACACACACCACCACACACACCACACACACACACACACACACACCACACACACACACCACACACACCCTCCACACACCACACAACACCCTTCACGATGAACCACAGATGACCTCGTTCTCCTACGTGTTTATTTGATTTACCGGGTGGAGTTACACTGAAATCTGATTGGTCTGCAGCAGCCAATCAGCTTACACCAAGCTGCAGCAGGTGGAAGTGTTTCATATAAATCAGGGTTAATCTCAGTTTAACGACTTCACAGAACATTAATTACATTTTTAACATATTTCATTATCGTCCCGGGCGCGAGAACCACATCGTTTTCCGTTCGCCTTTATCGGCACAGTGGACAGTGGACAGACACAGACGCACAGGCGTCATCAGCAGCTCACCACACTCTACTGTTCCTGGTAGATTTAAAATATGTCTCTTAATCTCTACGTTATTTCACCTTTGATGCGTTACCGCCTGAAGATAACATGTCAAACTTAATCTGAACTATATGAGTTATCCACTCTACCAGCATCGAGGAACGTACCCTACAGGTAACCCCAGTGGAACAGTGGCCACCGGTCTCTCTTGATTCTCTCTAAACTGCGTTCCCACGCCCGCGCCATAAAGACGGTCTTCGCCCCAGGAGTTCCACCTGCCTTTTAACGCTGCTCTCTCGGTGAAATCAACTCGTCTCTCCCCGCGCACGCTCTCGCCTCGTTCACATCCTCAGATGAGCTCCCCATCGTCATCGTCCCGCTGAGGGAGGGGGCCTGAGGGGGAGTCTACCGAGGGTCTCGTGGGAGCGAGCCTCTCGTCAGAACGTACGGGACAGACCCACCCAATCCAGAGTGGACCGCCACAGCTCGTCATCCGGAGGTCTGGGCACACAAATAACAACAAATAAAACAAATAATCATATCACCTTATAGATCACATATCAAGCAGTATAACCGACTCAACCCTGTCAACACAAGTTGGGTGTTTCAGGTACATTTTCTTCCAATAATCTCCGCCGGGTTCCGGTCTGAGACCCGTAGCCGCTGGACCGTTCCGTTAGGGCATCGACCAGAATGCCTGCAGCTCAGAAACCGCACACCTGACGTGCGCAGCAGCTGAGTACCACACAGTACCACAGTCAGGGTACACACAGTACACAGTCAGAACGCCACACACAGCTCAAAAGTCCAGGTACACACACGTACACAGCTAGTACACACAGTCACACAGTCGTAAAACAGTCAAACAGTCAGGTACACAGAAGTCAGTCAAGTAACACACCCGTACACAGTCAGGTACACCACAGTAAAACAGCTCCAGGTAACACAGTACACAGTCAAAGTACACACAAATAACGTCAGTACACAGTTTCCACGATCACCTCTTTATGAACAAACGCGTCGAGTCTCTCATGGCCACGCTCCCCCAGCTCGCCCACTGGATTCGCGTCCTGGGGCGGTTCTCACCCAGAAACCTGCCTCTGTTTGCTCCAGAGCCATACAGCCCAACGGCTCATTACCCGCGGCACCGGCTCTGCACCGCTCACCAGCTGCACTCTACTCTTGGTGCAGAGCGCACCGGTCAATCTTCTCGTCCTGTCACGCGTTCGCGTGCCACACTGCAGTCCCTCGTTCCTGTCACACCCCCGTGGTTCTATTGAGTCCTCTGTTACCTGTAAAGGTTGGTGCTATACTCTCCTCTTACCTGTACACGGTGGGTGCTTATGCAGATCTATGTTACCACCTGTACCAGGTGGTTCTATGAGCTCTCTGTTACTGTAACGGTGTTCTCATGCTCTCTGTTACCTCGTACCACGTCGGGTCTCTAATGAGTCTCTGTTACTCGTACAGGTCGGTTATATGAGCTGTCTACCTGTAACAGCCGCTGCTTCTATGCAGTCTCTGTACTGTAAACGGTGTTCCTATGAAGTCTCTGTCTACTCTACAGGATGGTCTATGAGTTCCTGTACCTGTCACAGGCTGGTTCTACTGATCTCTGTTACCTGTAAGGTGGGTTCCTCATGGCTCTGTTCATGTACAGGTGGTTTTAATGAGTCTGTTACTGGTACACGGTGGTCATGAGTCCCGCGTCTTACCTGTCACAGGTGGTTCTATGGCTCTCTTTACCTGCTACAGGTGGTTCCCTCATGATCTGTTACTGTTACAGGTGGTTCCTCATGAGTCTCGTTTACTGTACAGGTGGTTCATGAAGTCTCTGTTACCTTGTAACGGCTGGTTCTCACTGAGTCTCTGCTTAGCTGGTACAGTGGTTTCTATGAGTCTCTGTTACCTGTAAGCGCCTGGTTCACTGCGTCGTTACTTACCAGGTGTCTAACCTGCACTCTGTTACCCTCGTACACGGCTGGTCCTACTGAGTCTGTACCTCTGTTACAGGTGGGTTCTATGAGCTATGCTTACCTGTACAGGTGGTTCCTATGAGTCTCTGTACCTCTCAACAGGCTGGTTCTAGTGAGTCTCTGTTACCTGTACAGGTGGTTCTATGAGTCTCTGTTACTGGTACAGGTGGTTCGTATGAGTCTATGATTACTGTACAGTGTGGTTCTATGAGTCTTCTGTTACCTTGTACAGGTAGTTCTATGAGTCTCTTGTTTACCTGTAACGAGGTGGTTCTACTGGCTCTCTGTCTCAGTGTACAGGTGGTTATCACCTGAGTCTTGTTCCTGTACAGGTGGCGTTCTATGAGTCTCTGCTACTCTACAGGTGGTTCTAATGAGTCTCTGTTACCTGTACAGGTGTTCTACTGAGTCTCTGTTACCTGTACAGGTGGTTCTATGAGTCTCTTACTGTACAGGGTGGTTTACTGAGTCTCTGTTACCTGATACAGGTGTTCCTATGAGTCTCTGTTACCTGTAGAGGTGCGTTTCGTATGAGTCTCTGGTACCTGTAGAGGTGTCTATGAGTCTCTGTGTACCTGTAAAGGTGGTGCCTTGAGTCTCTCTTACCTGCTACACGGTGGTGCTATGCGCCTCCTGTTACCTGTACAGGTGGTCAGTATGAGTCACTGTTACCTGTACACGGTGGTTCATGCAGTCTCTGTTACCTGTAACGGTGTTCATCGTCTCTGGTTACCCTCTACACCTCGCTCTATGGCAGTCTCCTGTTCACCTGTAGCAGGTGGTTCTATGAGTCTCTGTTACCTGTACAAGGTGGTTCTATGCGTCGCTGTTACCTGTACCAGGTGGTTCTATGAGTCTCCTGTTACCTGTACACNAAATGCACTTTTGTACGTCTTTTATACATGAATATGTGTCCCCGGTGTTCCAGGGAACTCACCAAGTGTCAGAAAACACAACCCTCTCTATTTACCTCCATACCTAAATCTCTTAAAAAGGGGCTGCAACGGATTTGATACAGACTGATCCAGATTTGAACACTTCTATGACGTCACAGAAGTGGCGCTACGGCTATTGGGCCAACTCCACCAATCAGGAGGAGACAGCCACGGACATTGCCGTTCGAAAGTGCTGGAGACGCTGTAGTACATATGCCAGGCCTGTAGATGGTGCTGTTCTCACAGAATCAGCCCATGCAAAGACAGTGTTAAATTGAGCCAAATGAGGAATGGCTAAAATGCATGATCTGTTTGGTATTTTGAAAAATAAAAAGTATAAATATGCCTTATATAGGTATGGTCCTACACTATATTATTCAAATATAGCATGATCGGTCCACTTTAAGTTAAATTATAGGGGTTTAAAGTGTTCCTTTTCATCAGGACATTTTTTATAAATAAAAGGAATTAATTTGCTTTTGCTCAATAATGGCGTGCTTAGAAAAACCTCATTAAGTATTTTCTTATGGTACAGCATCAACAAGAGCTCCAATTTGCCAAACAATGAAGGATGTTTCTGAGCAAAAATATGCCACAAAGCAGCCTAGCATTCCAAGGGTGAGTGTGCCTCTATTATTGGTGGAAAATCAGCCGGAAGCCTTTACATGTAATTTCAAGAATTGAAGTCCAGTGAACATCATCCTTCTTGACATGATTGATGACTCGCATAGTGATGTTGACGTTCATTCAAGTCAGTAGATACCCTCAAGCCACTGATCTCACAAGATCTTACATTTGTACCTCACAGCGGCACAGTTTTCTGTGCAAAGGACAGATTAAATATTCCCTTTAATATATAACACTGCTTTTATCTCTACCTCATTCTGTTGTACTCAATTGCTTTTTTTCTCCACCAGCTCCCATGTTATTCCAAAATAGAAAAGCCACAGGAATTAAACAAATAAATAAATATTCACCTTTTCCTGTAAAGGACAGGGGAGGCAATCCACCTCTGTATGAAATGTCATTCTCTCGAACACCAAGCTCCTGAAACAGCTCTGCATGGCATTGAGATGCTGTTTCCACTTAGATTTTCATGGCAGCTCTGTCTCGAAGGACGTCATGTCCAGGTTGTAGCGTGTCACCGGTTCAGCGGTCCGGCGCGGCCACTCCAACTTTTTTGTGTACAGTTGGAAGTGGTGTCACTTCTCGATGAAGTTCAGTAAAGGTCAGCCGGGTGTCAGCTGTGTTTTCATGCCTCACTTCCTCCTTCTGCTCCGGATAACACCACAGCTTTAACCGGTGACACATGTCTCTGTTTAACACACAGGCACACACATTCACAAATCAC